TATTCGCACTTCGAGTACACTATAACAAAATGTCCTTCACATCATACTCCCCCTTCTTGAGTGTGGCTCATCGACCCATCAATAGGAGTTTTGTGTGTTTCTAGCTTAAAGGTTCAATATAGTTCTAGTTCTCTTAAAGTTCACTATTGTTCTATTCTTCTGTGTCATCTTCTGTAAGGAGTTCTAATGGGCAGATTCTGGTGATTAGTCTCAACAATTCCTTGCGGCCAACTCTGACTTTGACAGCTCTAATGTGCTTGTCCTTTCCTGGACAGACCGCCTCGACTCTACCGAGCGGCCACTGCCCACACAGTGTGTCTGTTGCTACTACCAAGACTACATCGTTAACTTGGACATCTTTCTTACACAGAAAATTTCGTTTGGTCAACTGGAACTTCTCGTCTGGCAGATTCACTCTGTAAGTGAAGATTTCTTCCTTAGCCAACCACAACACACCAAGCGTCTTCATCGACGGCAAATTTCCTTTGTTTAAGTCCACCTCTGCAGCCCTGCAGTCTTAGCCACTTAACCTTTTGTCAATGACTTTGCACATCCATTTTCTTAAATTCTTCGCAGCTTCATACTGGATGATCTTTCTTACAAAGTGGGCAATTTGTGCTAACAGGCTTTCCTGAACCACTTGTCTGACCAAAGAATGTGTGTGAGCTATCTCTTTGTTTTCGTGCCAGCCCACATAGTGTCTCTGCCACAACAGTCTGGAATTCAGCTTCTTGTATGATCCACTTACGAAGTGTCTCAACACATTCCACTTTTTTCTGCTCAAACACCCATCACTTTCTTTCAGATTTACCACAACCACGTCCAGTAAGTCTGCCAACATGTCTAGGTCCTTGGCATTTCCAGGACGAATTGGTCAGAACTGGTCCAATTCCTCTAAGTGCAAATTGATCTGACGACGTTGACCACTGAATTTTCTCTCCAATCTGCTCTTGGTCACTTCATAGGCCTTGGCTGAATGTCCTAAGCTCTCAACTGCTGCCAATGCTTCTCCAGATAGGTACTTCTTTAGCTGCAACAATTTATACTCTGCAGTGGCTGGCACTTTGTCTACACAAGCCATAAATGCTGCCTTCCAGCTCCCATGCGACCACTTGTCTCCACTAAATACCAGAATAGAAACCCTCGTCAATTGTTTCCACATGTCTTTCCTGAGCTCATGTTTCAGTGACTCTTCAACAGTCTTCTCGTCTTCTTCTGGCTTAATATCCCTTTTTGGCGGGCTTGGAGGCAACTACTCAAGCTCCTCGTCTATGGCACCTTCGAGCTTCGAATATTTCTCTTTGCAATCTCCTTTTGCACGGGCTGATTCCTCCTTTGCCTCTCTAACTTCAGCTTCCATTTCTTTTTGACAACAGACATATTCTTCCTCCATCTTCTTTTGAGCACGCTTGACAGATTCTGCTTTTCCATGTAATTGCTCCTCCAGTTCGGTCACGTGGTGGCGAGCTTTCGTATCTTGTGAATGCAAATTATGCAATTTCCCGGAAAATCCCAATGCTCGACTCAATAATTCATCCTTATTGGCGTCCAAATATTCTTGTCCACTCTCTTGGGCCTTACAGAATTCTTTCTCGATTTCCTCAAGTTCGCGGCTTGTTTTCTCAAGGGTATACCGATCTCTAGCTTCCGAATACAACACAGCCAATGATGTCAAATCTTCAACAACATTCTCTTGGGCTTCATCAAGTTTTTTCCTCAACGCTCTTATTTCACGGTTACTCGCCAATCCATCTTCTAATTAATCCGCCAGCTGATTTTTTCATCTTGTGAATGGCGATTTCAACTTGGCTTTCTTGATCTTTTGCTCTTCTATTTTATCTGCAATTTCATCACGGGTATCTTCGTCATCATCTGTGCCCTTCACTCAGTCGCAGAGCTTCTTCTTCTTCGAATTTGATGGCATTTTCTTGAATCCGGCAAATTCGAGTAGCTGGTAGAACATAGAGAGTAGAACGTAGATGGGCTTAGAGAGAAGACGGTAGATCGTAGAGCGTAGGGCGTAGATTGAAGAGAGCAGCTGGTAGAACACAGAGAGTGGAATGTAGATGGTAGAACATATAGCATAGAGCGAGCACACAGAGTAGAGGGTAAACTCAACACAGAATTGTACATTAAAAACATTATTAAAATACTGTAAACTGTAATAACACTAAACATTCCCCATGCGCTTTAATACTTGCTACAATAACAGTAACCCTCTACGCCCGTACATAGAACTGTAGAAGAGCGTAGGGCATAGATGGTAGAGGGTAAACTCAATACAGAATTTTAAATCGAAAACGATTAAAACACTATAAAGCGTAAAAACACTTTAACAACACCTTAATATAAATGAGATAATTATGTGCAAGGAATATGCTACATATTGAAATCAAATGTTACAAAATAGGCAGTAACCATAGTAACAATACACAACTACGGTAAAAGCTATGAAGTAGGAAGTAATGTATCTTTCCAACACGTAGGAGGAGACTGGTGATGAGAATTACATTCACAGTCAGCTAGATCTAACTAAGGGTATGGTTGATAATACAAACCCATTATAATAATATTTGTACGAATACATTTGTATATCAGTATATGTATATATCATATTATATACCTGCTACTTAGCTATTGAGAAAAATAATTATGACATGCTTTGCCATTTTTTGTAATGAATAGATTCGTTATTATTCTTTTTTGCAATTAAAAGTTCTGGTTTTCGAGTTTCTGTTGTTTTGACCTTCAGTAAGGATAGAGACGGCTTGATATTTTTACAATGACATACATAAATGGTACATTTCTCAAGAATGATTATGTGATTTAACAAACAATCCTTGGGTTGTCATCAGAGATACCAAAAAGAATCGTTATCTCATCAAGCTTATCAATTAGAATTTTCATATTGTAAGTATATTTAACCAAGAAACAAGAAGATCTTTAGATCTTATAACCACGCTTTTAAAATTTAACTGTTTTGTTAATACTACAGTCACAATGCAGTGCACATTCCAAAGCAGTCCTTGATGATTCATTGATTATTGTAAACACATCACTTGATCAACACGAACTGTGTTATAACTTATTGCACCATCACTCTTAGCCTTTGTGAAATCTGTGATGACGTAATGGTCTTAATCTGGAAGTTTGCTGGGGATATGCCCATATGAATGGTACAAAAGGAAACGAGTGTCACGCTATTAATAATGCTTTTAATAAACAGCTTTCCTCCTGAAAAGTCAAAATTTAATTTGTTTGTGCTTTGAAGTAGTCACGCTAGTCACACAATCAGAGGGTTTTCACTATCCACAGCTAATTTTATTTTCCCTAGCACTGACTTAAACATTGCAAGTTCTGGCAAGATCTTGTTTACCCCAGCAAATATTTAATTTTTCTTCAAATCTCTTAACTCGCTGCAATGAAACAGCCAAAGAATTCGCTTCATTTGCCAAAACCCACAAGAAATACTCGCAAATTTACAAATAAATTAATGAGCATCACTTCTTGCAAAATAAACATGCAAAGTAAACACGATCTTATTTGTCATGTGGCGAAATAAAAACTGCAACGTCAGCGCATTCCATGGCTGACGTAACACCCTTTTTTAGCGTTTGTAGTGTATTTATTATTTCCCTTCGAATCCAAAACTTCGATAAAACCAAAAGAAAATATATTTTACACACAAATAAAGAAAACAATATCCATAACATTGTCCTTGCATTAATGTTTCAACAGCTTTTGGTGAATAAACATCACAGGTTGCATGATTCAAAATTTGGCTGAGAGGAAGTTTGGGTCTGGTCACCAACAAAAAAAAAAAAAAACACAGGTAGAACATGAACCGCGCTCAGCCCATGGCCGTGTGGTTAATAACAGAAAGCCAAAAATTTTTAGTGTAGGCACAGCTGATTAGACTGTGCTCAAGAGTTTCTTCATGATCTTCACACAAAGTGCACATCGGAGAAGGAACTAAATTCCTTTTAAATAGGATTCTATTAGTGTAGAAAATACAATTTAGGATTTATTTTTCCAGTCCATAATACCAGAGATATTATTTAAGAAATTTTGTTTGACCAGGGTGGAATAGATTGATTTAGAAGTCATTCTAGTTGTATCATTCTTGAACATCATCATCTGAGACAGTTCTGTCAATTTGGTTATTATTATTCTCTCCATTTTTAAGGAGCAGTTTCCAGTTATGCAGAATGGTACAAAAAATGCCTTGTAGGAGTCCTGAGGTAATCTGACAAGAAGAGATTTTTCTCTCTAAAAGAATCCCAGCTTTTTAACTTAGAGTTGTTTGAGAGGATATCTGCTAGTTTCACAAAACCTGCTTCTCTTAATTTTCTTTTTGTATATTGATTGCTTGTTAATCAAGTGGAACCTTCTGGTTGTTCCAGATGAGCCCATTTAAAACGTCCTGTTTTGTAGCTATTACATGGCCATTGAAGTCAGACCAAGCTTCAAGACATTCTTCATAAAAAAAATGGTAATTTGCAGGTTAGGCACAAGAGACTGAGATTGTACTGAAGCAGAAAACTAGTTACTACATTCTTTAGATGGTAAGACAACAAAACTTTCCATGGGCTAACATTATCATCTAAATACCTTTAATTTAAGACTTGCGATTCTTTGAGTTTTAATTAAGTTGCTGGCAATGGAGAGACTTAACACTAATTGGTAAAATTTAATTGGTCAAAACATTCACTATGCCTAAGTTTATGTATCGAGCCTCCCTCATTTCCTTTGATGAGGATACAACTAAAAGCATAAATTTTGTGATATTCAATTGTGCGTGGAGAGGCAAAGACAAAATCAAGAGATTGGCTTTAATTAGTGAATATGAAGATAGTGGCCTCAAAATGCCTCACCCTGAATCTTCAAAGACTTTTTTTTATTGATTTTTAAGTTAGATCGTAGTTGAGCTCTTTAGTTTCATGCTGATCAAAAGTAAAAAGATACCCAGTATTTTAATATGCAAATCAGTTAATATGTACCTTGCAGCCTGTTCCTTATGAGAAACCAGTTGATACAGTAGACAATATGACATCGACTCATTCAAGCTTTTGAGCCCATCTTTCTCAAAGGCCATAAGTGAAAGAGGAAAAAAGTAAACTCTTTTTTGGCTTCTTTCTGCAATAATAGAAATATTTTAATTAGTACATGTACAATCAAAGTGGCTATGAGCCACTCAACTTGGAAAATGGAAGTGACAATTTTGATGCCACTGACTTGAGGTTTTAATCCATAGGTTCAGTTAAAGTTAAAGCCCACTGTCATTGTTAAGAAATGCAAAACGCAACGGTAAGAGAAATACACAAGGAGATGTAAATCTGTCGAAAACATTCATGAAGTTATTGGTCCAAAAGACCGAGTTATTCTCATCCTAGCCTGCAGTACAGACAGATTAGTAGCCTCTAGCGCTAGAGCCCACTAATCTGCCTGTTCTGCAGGCTATCCTTGTCTATCGAGTCACAGAACAGTGCATTCTTATTCTGTAGCCAGCTTTGGTGTTAACAATAAAACCACGTCAAACTACTACACAATGCTATCAAGTAACACAACTGCGGAGCATTTCAACAAGAAGTATTGAAGGAAGAGCTGTTTATTTGACCGAAATTATATCCCACATCGGTGAGCGAGTCACCTAATCGACTGATAAAATTATTAGTTGGTGGTTTCAGTAAGTGCCACGGAGTCTGCCACAATAATAACGAAGTTTCCTTTGTCACAAATTTACTAGTTTTACATGTAACTAACGCGGGAAAGTTTCGGCTGAATATGAACTCTTGGCTCTCTTTTATATAAGGAGAAGCAATACGTTTCCATTTTTTATTTGAACCCTGGCAAACACACAACAGACAACATTTCTTGAAACGAGCTATGGAAGAATCCAGAAGATACGAAACCACAGTAGTGTTCTTTGCAACAAAAAAAGGAGAAAAAGAACTCAACATTTGTGAGTAGACCAGAATGAAATGTATCTTTCACCTAACATATAGTCGACTTTTGACGCTAACTAATCTGCACATGCATTTGGAGCAAATTGCTTTTGTTCTTAAGAGAATTGAATAGCACCACAAGGATAGTTTGAGATTTGCAAAACCATATATATATTTTTTTGTCATGTTATCAAAGAAAGTAATGTTAGCATGACACATTTTGTGTAATGCACACGGGCACCTTTTAGCTACACCACCCAGCCCCCCTTCCCACAAGGCTAATTGATTAATTAATTAAACAAACAATAAAGTTTACTCCTTATTGTGTTATAGCATTAGTGCCTGACCGAACAGCAACCCCTAAACCATCCCAATAGTGCACTCTGCACTAAAAAATGCGATCAGCGTAGAGTCACTATTATATATACCACAAGGACAGCACCACATCTTGTCCACCACAAAGTTAAGCCCTGTTCGGTGGATGGGTGACCAAGTACGAATACCCCATGTTATAATAACTTCTTTTTTTCCCCTTCCCTTTCCAGAGCAATATTAAAGACTGCAGAACTGCCAGTGTTGTGTAATGTCATTTCTTCTATTTATCAACTGTGTTCCTTATTTCGCCATGTCCATATTTGTGTGTATTTATTACAATATCATATAAATAAACAGTGGAAAACGTTGTTCGAATTCTCCTCAATTCTCGACTGTTGATCATCTAAAACATCACGGCTTGAATCATTCAAAAATTCATACAGCTCGTCAATTTTGTGACTTTCAATGTCTTCTTTTTCGGCAGTCGAGTATGGTTAAACCTGTATGAGCAGGCACCTTCAGGAAATGAGCTGTTTATTTAATTACAGGTAGCTTCTGTTTATAAAAACGTTCATGCAAAAATTTATTCAATGTAGAGCATTTCTGCGGTAAGATATTGAGTACTTGCGTCAGAAATTCAAAGTATAACCAACTTGACACTGTGCAAGCAACTGTAAAATGGCCTTCAAGAGGTCTATAAGCAAACACATTTTATAAAGATCTTACAACTTCATGGTAAATGGAAACATAAAAAACAGTTTTGGTATATTTTTAATAACAAAATTGTTGCAACAGCACTTTTGGCGTCTCTGACAGCCTTCCTCTGGTTTAGCTTAAATACATCTAAATACCTTTTGCTCACAACCAGACACTAATCACATGTTAAATAGGCTTGCCACTTCCATTTCATAACATAAAATGTAACAGTTAGTGGTTAGCACTATGCTACTATTCTAGTGTTCCTGGTTTAAGTACAGGTTCATTAAACTTGATTAATGGTCACAGGAGGAAAATTTTGCTTTCATTTTAGTCGTGTACTTGGCAGCGTAGTTGATTGCATCAATGTCAACCCTGCGCGTGCATGGCGCTTAAACCATGCCTCAGTTCCAGGGGGAACTCCTATATGAAAAGGTTGGGGATGCTTGTCGTCTCAAGTACAAATCAAGGATTCTGGTCTCACTTTGGGTGTTTACTACGAAACGTCACCATTTTTAGCTGTCAAAGTATCCTTTAGGGTGCACTCAAAGAAATATTAATTAACAGAAATGCTCTCATTTAACTTCTGTTTCTAGGCTTGATTTCCGCTGATCTTTCGAGTACACGAGTCAGGTCTACAAGTGCGTGTGGGATCCTTTCTTGAACAGTGGCTAGTAGTCAAACCTATTCCATTTTAAATGGTATCTTTTAGGGGCCTAATGACGCTCCAGCAACTCCCATATTAGTCTCCTTTCAGAGTAAAATTAAAATTGTCCATCGAGCATTCCTGACCTTTTAACATGGGAGTTCCCCCGGGACTTCAAATGTGTAACAGGATGTCACCTAGTGAGGAAGTGAAGGAGTGACGGAGTGAGATCGCTTCACCACTAGAACTTGGAAAATAATATTTTCCAAGTTAAAAAATGGGAAAAATACACACAACAAGTACATCTGGGAGGTGGGCATTAAGACTTCATACCCGTGTATGTTCTGTATTTTTTTATCTGACCTTCTTTTTATTAACTGACAGACAAAATCTTTACCAAGCCTTAAATTTGCTTAAAGTGTTACTGACAGTTACTTATTAGCGGAGCTCCAGTGGTGGCCCAAAGGGCTGCCAAGCAGAGCACCATACCCATATAGGAAAGTAAAGGAAACCCATGCATTGATTTTCCCATGGTTATCATGGCTAGTGGTATTGCTCGTGCGCACATACGCACGACAACAACAACGTTGAAGTCATACAAGATGGCGGCCATACTCCAGCTATTAGGTTAACGGAGACAATTGCATCCTCAGTTTATACCATACTTCTTTGATATTGGACATCCATAATATGTTCAAATGACACCTGTGAAAACAAGGTATCCGCTGACCAGTATCATGTGACCATATCGTGGGCTCAAGTTTAGAGCACATTGAGGTCACACGTTTTTTTTCAAAGTTGACCGCTGACCAAGTGCTAGTTTTTGGTTGGATCATGGGCTCATATCAGGTTAACTTGTTGTAAATAGTTGTTTGGAAGCCAGTTAAAGCTAACCCAGGAAACAAAGTAAACTAAAGTATAAATTTTTCTTGTATACAAATGTTTTTCACTACTTTTGTTCTGTGTAGTTTGAGATTATTCAAACTCAAAACAGAATGACAAACAATATACAGAAAACCTCACCACAAACTAACAAAACTCAAATCAAAATTCTCGCTCATCCTGGGTTAGCTAAATTAAGCTTTGAACAATCCAGCCCAGGAGCTCCGGTTTTAGGCTTGGCTAAATCTATATATTAGGCCTTCTTTAACAGGTAGCTATTTTCTTCTCAATTGACTTGTGATTTAAAGCACAGTTAAGGTTTTTTTTTCATCAAATAATGGGAAAAAATTCCATGGTTTCCTAATTTTCCTTTGTTCCCACTAAGGCATTCAGTTCCATGGGTACTTCAAAACTAAACTTTACTGATTAGAGGAAACACTTTTAATAATCTCAAATAATTTGTAAACTGATAACACTGTCATGTTTTTGCCTCGTGTCCATGTAAACATGATATGTTTATGTGAGCCCTCTCTAAATTCTTGTGTAAGAAATTCTTGTGTAACCATTCTTTGCGTTGCTAATGTAAGATTCCTGTGAAGTATGGTTCTGGAAACTCACAGTTTACAATCAATAATTTTGCTCATGAAAGACAGGCTTAAAACGTTGGATTGTGCTATTGATTTGGCTACCATACTGTACAGATTCAAGACAATCTATTTCTTCCCTATTTAAAAGGGTGTGGCATGAAGACCATGAAGAACTTGCAGATGCAATCATTTGTGACAGGCTGTTTTGAGCATTTTATTTTGTGTCCCAGCCCACAGTTTACACAACTTGCTCACAATTTAATCAATTTTGGCAACAAATGACAGGCTAAAACGTTTGGGTTTTAGTGGCTGTTTATGCCGGTGCATAAACAGAAATTAATGTCTAGCTCAATTGACTTTCCCACATTTGATTCTTTCAAGTGCTAATTTCCTGTGAGCGTTTCTTTGTACTTTGTATCATTACATGACACCACTATTTCTAGCAGCCAATTATATCATTAATGGTATGTGTGTACTACGCATCCACCAATAATATTAGCCTCCCTTTTGGGCCAAATACCATGTTCACCTTGTTTACAACCTAGTTAACCACTTGAACACAAGTTTTTTCCTCACATCTACTTCCAATGACGGTGAAAGGTGTTTTTACAAATCTAAAGATCACAATGAGCAGATTAAAAACTAACAACTAATGCTTATTTTCTGCGAATAACCAAACATGATTGTGTAAATCACAAAAACTAATCGTTGATCTTATGATCAATATCTCACTGTATATATATGTATCAACATGGGTCAGATCAGGGTATCAGGCCAGATCAAATTTATTCGTAATGATATCTGTTCTGTTTACTTTACGTTTTATTTAAAGCATGAGGTATAGTACAAGCATCACACCACTAGTGTACTTGTATCAATGGGAGCAAGTGAACGAATCACCCAGAACCGAGAGATTATGATCTTTGCCTGGAACTGATTAACCCTGACTGGTCTTCTATTCCTCTGGTATCAGTATCATTTCTATCCATGAAATAAGGCAGCCAAATAACTCAAGTAACAACAAATTAAAGTGTAAGTTGGCTTCCACAAAGAGCTGTGTGAATG